GCCCGCCACAACGCCCGGCTATTTTTTTTGGTTGCAGCCATCATTGTTGTTTGGCGGGCCCTGGCTGGATTTGAACCCGCCACCTTAGGTGTATGTGGCTGGCGCCTTACCCACCTGAGCCACAGGCGCCGAGCCAGACAGAGTCTATCTCTGTTGCCTCTGCTAGAGTGAAGTGGCATGATTATAGCCCACTGCAACCTCTAACTTCTGGGTTCAAGTGATCCTCCTGTCTCAGTTTCCCAAGTAGCTAGGAATATAGGCATGCACACCATGCTTGGATGATTTTTCTTTTACTTTCTTTCTTTTCTTTCTTTCTTTTTTTTTGAGACCGTCTTACTCAGTCGCCCTGGATAGAGTGCTGTGGCATCACAGCTCACAGCAACCTCAAATTCTTGGGCTTAAGTGAGCCTCTTGCCTCAGCCTCCCAAGTAGCTCGGACTACAGGCACCTGCCACAATACCTGGCTGGTTTTAAAGATGGGATCTTGCTCTTGATTTGTAGAGACAGAATCTCCCTTCTGTTCAGCCAAGTCTCCAAATCTTGATCCTCCTGCCTCAGCCTCCCAGAGTGCTAGGATTTACAGGCATGAGCCACTGCACTCCACTGAATTAGGTAATTTTTTTTTTTTTAGAGACAAGAGTCTCACTTTATTATCCTTGGTAGAGTGCTGTGGCGTCACAGCTGACAGCAACCTCCAACTTTTGGGCTTAGGTGATTCTCTTGCCTCAGCCACTCAAGTAGCTGGGACTACAGGTGCCCACCACAACGCCCAGCTCCTTTTTTGTTGCAGTTTGGCTGGGGCTAGGTTTGAACCTACCACGCTTGGTATATGGGGCTGGTGCCCTACCCACTGAGCCACAGGCACCGCCCTCATTAGGTGATTTCTTTTTTTTTTTGAGATGGAGCCTCAAGCTGTCCCCCTAGGTAGAGTGCTGTGGCATCACAGCTAACAGCAACCTCCAACTCCTGGGCTCAAGCGAGTCTCCTGCCTCAGCCTCCCAAGTAGCTGGGACCACAGGCGCCCACCACAATGCCTAGCTATTTTTTGGTTGCAGCCATCATTGTTGTTTGGCGGGCCTGGGCTGGATTCGAACCCGCCACCTTAGGTATATGTGGCTGGCGTCTTAGCCACTTGAGCCATAGGCACGAGCCACATTATGTAATTTCTAAACAGAAACTGTTGTGCCTTGCAGTGACACTACCTGTATATTTTGAAGGCTAACAGAAAGCAATGCCTTTGTCATGGGAGAAATGGTCAAAAATCACAAGTCAGGCTCGGCACCCATAGCACAGTGGTTACGGCACCAGCCACATACACTGAGGCTTGGAGGGGCTGAATGTGGCCTGGACCAGCTGAACAACAATGACAACTGCAATAAGAAAACGGCCAGGCGTTGTGGCAGGCACCTGTGGTCTCACCCAAGGAGTTTGAGGTTTGACACCACGGCACTTTACCGAGGGCACATGGTGAGACTCTGTCTCAAAAAAGAAAAAAAATCACAAGTCAGATACATAACAATTCCTTACATTCATGTAGCACTTTATGGTCTATACAGTGCTTCCAAATTCTCACTTAATATTCACAAGATACATATGGGTAGAATCATAGGTCTAGAAGGGATCCTAAAAGACCCCATTTTTTTTTTTTTTTTTTGAGACAGAGCCTCAAGCTGTCCCTCTGGGTAGAGTGCTGTGGCATCATAGCTCACAAGAACCTCCAACTCCTGGGCTCAAGTGAGTCTCCTGCCTCAGCCTCCCAAGTAGCTGGGACCACAGGCGCCCGCCACAATGCCTGGCTATTTTTTGGTTGCAGCCGTCATTGTTATTTGGCAGGCCCGGGCTGGATTCGAACCTGCCACCTTAGGTGTATGTGGCTGGCGCCTTGGCCACTTGAGCCACAGGCGCTGAGCCAAAGACCCCATTCTTAATCTTTCCTAGTCTCAGTTTCCATCTCATCCATAAAATGCTGAAAACAATATGGTAGATGTACCAGAAGAGGACTCTGAATATAGCTGACATGGGTTCTAATACCAACACACTCTCTACATGACTTGGAGTAAGTCAATTTCTTTGAGCCTTAGTTTCCTCCCCAGAAAAAATGGGAACAATTTCTGTATCTCAGAGTTCTTATGACTAGAAACCATCATGTATCAACAAACATGTTCATTACCTTACTTAACTCATACCCGTAAGGCTGGTATTAAACTCATTTCACAGATGAGAAAACTAAGGCTGGAAGGATTTATAGTTTCCCTAAGGCCTAAATGTGGTAGAGGAGTTTGCACACTTAAACATATTACTATAACTTGACTACAGACGCTGGCCTTCCCTTGCTCTTATAATAAAAGTGTCCTTCAGGCAGGTACCCCTAGCTCAGTGGGTAGGGTGCCAGCCACATACACTGAGGCTAGTGGGTTTGAACCTGGCCCAGGCCAGCTGTAACAATCACAACTGCAACAACAACAACAACAAAATAGCCTGGCGTTGTGGCAGGTGCCTGTAGTCCCAGCTCCTTGGGAGGCTGAGGCAAGAGAAAAGCTTGAGCGCAAAAGTTTGAGGTTGCTGTGAGCTATGATGCTACAGCACTCTACTGAGGGCGACATAGTGAAACTCTGTCTAAAAATAAAAATAAAAATAAATAAACAAAAAATATATATATAAGTGTCCTCCAGAATCTCTCATGTTATCTACCGATAAACAGATGGAGTCATGGAAAGTTTCTATTCAGATATTGCCAAGTGGCTGTCTCCGAACAGAAAAACTTCAAAACAAATTTATAGTCCTTTGCAGCTATAATAATAATAATTATCACAGAAAGGAGACACTCTGGGCCCTTAGTGAAGACGTCGGAGAACTCCGGGCTGAGGTTGGCGGGCGGTCAGGGCCGGTTCACACTCGCCCAGGTGGCCGCGCTGCCAGCTGCGGGCAGCCTCGCCCCGCCCCCTCGGTCTCCGCCGCGCCGCTCCCGCTGCTCACCGTGCACCTCCTTGCCCGTGGGCCCGAGCCGGCGGTGGGGCCTGGCGGCGCGCCTCAGCCGGCCAGCGGGGATCTTACAGCGCAGCTCATCCCGCGGCTCCGCGTCTTGCTGCCACAGGACATGAAGGTAACGCAGAGGGGACTGGGCCGCGCTGGACGCCCGGACCGGGAGGCCTGCGCCGCCGCCCAGCGCAGACCCAAAGTCTGCAAAGGAGAAGAGGCCCTCGGCGCCAGTTAGCGGCTCCGGCGCCACCGCGCACTCGCCATCGGAGCTCGAGCGGCCCGAGCGAGCCTCGTCGTCCGCGTCCCCGGCGGCGGCTGCCATGGCAACGGCTCTGCGCGGGCCCGGCAGCCAGAGCCTCGTTCCCGACCGACCAACGGACCTACTTCCCTCGGCTCTGTCTTGCTGTCAGACAGCTAGAGGGCGGGCCGGGCCTGCTTCCACGGCAACCCGAGGGGGGCGGGCTTGGGCGGCTGGAGCTGTAGGATCAATGGCGACCCTTCCGGTCTGAACCCTCCACAACCAATCGGAGAGGGAGGACATAGTACATGCAAGAGAGTTGGACAGGTTGTCCGGCCGTGCACCAATCAAAAATTTGAAGTGGCCACGGGCCTCGCCGTCCGTCGCCACCGGAGCCAATAAAACAGCTGAGTTTACGACCTTCCCCTCCGCTCCTTCCTGTCCCCCCCCCACGTGATGAAGGATAACGGGCAGATGCTTTAGCCAATCACGTTAAGGTGATCCGCAGCCTCTCACAAAAGAAAGTGAAGAAGCCACAGTATACGTGATATAGTTCGTTTTATTTTTCTTTATTTCCTTATTTTTTAAGAGACAGAGTCTCACTTTCTCGCCTTCAGTAGAGTGCCGTAGCGTCATAGCTCACAGCAACCTCCAGCTCTTGGGTTTAGGGGATTCTCTTGCCTCAGCCTCCTGAGTATCTGGGACTACAGGCTCTTGTCAGAACGCCTGGCTATTTTTTGTGGCAGTTTGGCCGGGGCTTCGAACCTGCCACCCTCAGTGTATGGGGCCGGCTCCCTACTCACTAAATCCATGAACGTAAAAAATAAAAAAAAGAACTTTCCCCACAAACGCATAATGTATGTAGGAAAATATGTTCAAATTTGTAGATATCAAGGGCCGGGTGCAATAGCTCATGCCTGTAATCCAATAGCACTCAGAGTCCGAGGTGGGTGGATCGCCTGAGGTTACAGGTTAGAGACTAGCCTGAGCCAAAGCGAGATCTCATTGCTAAAAAATAACCGGGAGTTGTGGCGGGTGCCTGTAGTCTCAGCTGCCTGGGAGGCAGAGGCAAGAGAATCGCTTTAGCCCTAAAGTTTGAAGTTTCTGTGAGCTATGACGCCATGACACTCTACACAGGGCAACATAGTAAAAAAAAAAAAAAAAAAAGAAAAGAAAAC